TTACTTAGGTACCCTTTTGATTTTGAGGAGAGATTGCTGATGTCGGGTTAGGTTATGGAGAAAGTGCGCTTTTTCTCGGGATCCTGGGGGGTGCGGAGGATGGGAAGATTCCGTTGGAGTATCTGAAGGTGCTTGTTGGTAAGTCTTATGCCTTCGTCGCATTCCCCTGGTTGGAGTTTTTGAGATGTGATTATGCTATAAGATGCGGATGCAGATGCTGATGCTGATGCTTGAGCAGAGCAGGAGAGAGTCCCGTTCAAAGAGGGCTGGCGGCCGCTCAAGCAACCTCTTTCACAATCCCAGATGAACCATCTCATCTTCAGTCTGATGGCTGCAAATGAGCACAAAGCTGCTGAAGCTGCCGGCGTGGGGTTGGGAACGATGCATGCTGTTACTAATGCCGTGACGAGCGTGCTTCCTACGCATTGCAATCTTATGTGATGGATCTTGGGGTTCTTGGTCTTGCTTTGCGGAATATTTTTTTTTGCTTGCACTTGGGACATATAAGGTCTGAAATTTGAACTGAAGCCCTGGTATGTGGACTACGCAGAGATAGTAGATTGGGTCCGAATCGTGAGTTAGCAATGCCAGGTCATTTTCCAGCTGCAATCGAGGTCTACCTGGTCCTTTTCGGCTCCTGTTGCCTCTCGCCTGTCTGAAAATCCCCTTTCCTACACGTCGTCAATTCTGGGCACAGTCGTGAAAACGATAATCACTTGATGCCTAGCTCCACGCTCTCGATTTTTACTGTGTTTCCTTAACTTGGGCATATGTACAAGCCCTTCAGGATGTCTAGATGTATTTATACGGGTTCATGATCCCGTTCTACACCATCAGTCAGCTTGAATTCAGTGAGTCCTTCGCCTCCCCAACTTACCGGATCATACAATTCCTTGATCTGCCTCATCAACCGAATCATCGTGTCGCTCCGACTGTATCCTATATAATTCTTTTTCGCCAGGCCCAGCCCATGCTCCGCACTAATACTGCCGCTCCGCCGTTCAATCCACTCGTATACAAACGGTTCCAGTACCTTCTCAACCCTCTTATCGTACCGCCTGACCGGAACGTTGAGATGCAGATTCGAGTCTCCCATGTGACCGTACCCTACGACATCTACGACAGGATGCTCATCAGTGTCGCCCATGAGCCCTGATTCCTGCATCTTCTTCTTGGTCTCTTCGACGAGCGCGTAAAGATCGTTGATGGGGATCGAGAGGTCATATTTGTAAACACCGCCCCAGTGGCCGAGACACTCGGGTACACCTTCTCGCCAGCCCCAGAGCGCTCTTACCTGAGTTTGGTCTTGCGCAAGGACACCATCGAGAACGATCTCCTTCTCCATTACGTGCTCGAGGAATTTCTCAAGCTTCTCGTTGTCGTGCTCAGCGTTGGAGCCAGACGTCTCGATTAAGCAGTAAAACGGATACTCGTTTTCCAAGGGTCGCTTGTTGTTGGTTACCTTGTGCACGAGGTCTTGGGAGTGTCCATCCATGAGCTCGAACGCAGAGAGGATCTCAGAGAGCTGGCCTTTGGCTTCTTTGAAAGCATGTTGGACTTTCTCATAGGATTCGAGGCCGAAAAATGCTACATTGATAGCTTTTGAGCGTTGGGGGCAGATTATTGAGATGCCGGTTATGATGCCAATCGTGCCTTCACCGCCGATAAATAGCTGCTTGAGGTCGTAACCCGTGTTGTTTTTCCGTAATTTAGATAGATCATCAACAATGGTTCCGTCTGGCAGTACTGCTTCAATACCAAGTACATTGCCATGAAGACTTCCATACCGCAGTAGTCTCAGGCCTCCAGCGTTCGTGGCAACATTACCTCCGATATGACAGGATCCCTTAGCTCCAAGGTCTAACGGGAAGATGTAGCCTTTCTCGGCGAGATAGTTGTCGGCCACTTCCAAAATAACACCAGCATCCACAACCAGAGTTCCAGAAACGTCATCAAAAGACCGAATCTCGTTCATCCGGCTCATATTAATAACAATCTCGTCAAATACTGGCACCGACCCTCCAACCAAGCCAGAGTTTCCTCCTTGCGGCACCACAGCTAACATATTGTCGTTACAATACTTTAACACCTTGCTAACCTCGTCCGTCGACCCAGGCTTCAGCACCAGTTTCGTGTGTCCCCGGTATTTTCTCATCCAATCCCCGTTGAATGGCTCTATATCTTCAGTGGCATCTTTCGTGACGCCATCTATAACTGCAGAGTCCTTGCCTAGCAGTTCTTTGAAGAAGTTGACATGCTCAGGAGTGAGCTCTGCAAATCTCGAGTCGCGCTTGATTTCTGGATAGGTTTCGGATGTGAATTTTATGGTTTTTGATGAGCCGGTTTTGCCTTTGGATACGCCTTCGGTTTCTTCTGTTGATGCTGTGCTTTGGTGTCGAATTTGGGGGAGAGCTACTCGAGGGAATGGAGCAGAGAGAGCTGGAATTCGGGCTCGACGGAGGGCGAGACTTACTCGCGATCGAGTAGCCATCGTGGATAAGGCGAAATGATCCAAGGCAATTGTTCAATTCTTGTTGAAGAGAGCGAGGTTATGGAATTGGTGAAGAGATACGTACTGAAAGTATTTGCCACGGGTGAAGCTCGGCTCATCAGCTCGCGAGGCTGAGGCTGTGGTTGCATAAAAATAGTGCAGCCCCGCCTTGAAACTATGCAAGATGGAAGAAGGCAAGGCGTCTGTCAGTCCAGCTTTCGACGTTCATCTTCGGGAATAGCTTCGACCCAACTCAGTTCAACTCAACTCAATCCACACAGCATAATCGCCACTCCTTCCCCGAGCTTCTTCTTCTCAAGCTTATATTAAGGTGCCAACCGATCGCGTCTCTGACGACTCCTCCACTTCCAAAAACCATACCCAGACCCCGATCTCCTCCTCGCATCCGCCATGTCGGAACGAAAGGTCCTTACCAAGTACTATCCTCCCGATTTCGATCCTTCCAAGATCGTCCGCTCGCGCGCGCCCAAGCAAGCCGGGCCCAAGGTACAGACTGTCCGTTTGATGGCGCCATTCCCTATGAAATGCACCGCATGTGGAGAATACATCTATAAAGGCCGCAAGTTCAATGCGCGCAAAGAGACAACGGAAGAGAAATACTACTCTATCCCCATCTACCGGTTCTACATCCGATGCACCCGATGTTCTGGCGAGATCACCTTTAAGACCGACCCCAAGAACATGGACTACGAGTGCGAGCGAGGCGCAAAGAGAAATACCGAACCATGGCGGATGAATGGCGCTGGCAAGCAGGAAAGTGACGAGGAGCGACTGGATCGGCTGGAGCGAGAAGAGGAAGAGAAGAATGCTATGCAAGAGCTCGAGACGAAGACCTTGGACGCTAAGCGGGAGATGGCGGTTGCAGATGCCTTGGACGAAATTCGGACTCGCAATGCCCGGAATGAGAGGCTGGGGAAGGACGGCGTCGAAGTCACAGTCACGCGCGAGAGTATCGACGAGGAGAGGCGGAGACAAGACCAAGAGGACGAAGATGCTGCTCGACAGGCTTTTATGAGACGGCACGAGGCTATGGAGGAGATTATCGAGGACGACGGGGATAACGACGATGGTGGTGTTGAAGCTGCACCTCCGATCACGAAAGCCGAGGCCTTGGAAATGCCGCCACCCAGCTTTAAGAGGGTAGTGAAAAAGAAGAAGGACCATGCTGCTGCTCTGGGTATCAAGAAGAAGCCATCCCTAGTTTGAATCGATTAGCATGGGTGCAATAGGCAGCTGCATAGAAGTGAGTTCCATTGTTATCATGTTGGAACATGGTACTTGGCGCTAATAGAACATATTTGCAACTTGACCATTCTCAATTGCCCGCCGCCTAGCTCCCACACTCTACGGAGGCCTGATTTCCGTCCTGGGGCAAGGATGCATTGTACCAGTGGGCTTCGTAGGTACCTTCTCTACCATCTGTTTCGTATTTAAACCACTTTCTCTCCAGGCGTCACCTCCACTCACGTACAAGCACTAGATGGTAGAAACCCCAGAGGGCAGCATCGGAGCCCCGTCAGTTACCAGAATACATGTACCCTTACCCGGTTGCAATCAGAAGAGCGTAAGGAGACCGCCTTCGTTAGCAAACGGGTCGGCCCGGGGGATTTTTGGTAGTGAAATATTCTGCCATCGATTCTGCTATATAGGGCAGGCAGGGGTGAAGGCGGTGACCTAACTTGGCTCCTGCACTTCCGTACGTACTACCGGTACTATTTTCTTTCCCCCTGGGGCGTGGAGCCGAGCTTCCCCCTTGCTGTTTAACCGCCGCAATCGCAAGCGCAACCGCGACGGTTTATCTACCCCACCTCAGCGGAATGATATCTTCCGAATCGGGACATTTCCTTCCTAGGGCTTGCTGACCGCGGGGTAATCGATCCACCCCGCACCTTGGCATGGGCCTTCTTCTCGCCGGATCCTCCAGTCGATCGGTCCCTCCCTTACCCCTTACCCCTTACGTACGTACCTACCTCAAGGACAATACAGTACATACCGGTACTACTACATATGGCATTCTGCCTGAGCTGAATTTCAATGATGACATGGCACCTTCTGTCCACCCACCCCCATCGAGTCCTTTCTGCCTGAAGTTGGCCGGCCGGTTAGTCATCCAGTCATTGAGTTCCAGTTCATCTGCAGCTCCTGGTGACCCTTTGCATACTATCACTATCACAAGACAAGATCCATCCTCGAACTTTCCCAGCTCTGCCTTTTGCCTAAAGTCGGGTCGAGTCAAGTCCACTCCTCTCTACCCAGTCGATTTCCGAACCTCGCTTGCACTTGGTAGGTAGGTACCTAGGTAGTAGGTAGGTAGGTAGGTATGAATAAAAAAACCCGAATACCCGCCAGCCAAATGGCACCGAACGGCCACTCCAGTCCGGGTTGAAGAGCGAGATACCTCGATAGATCTCTCTTTTCGTTGCCTCCAATACATCCATCTCGAATAAGGCAAGCAGGCAGGCAAGCACAATGTGGCCATTGCTGTGTGCCCTACCATTGCTGGGCCTGGCTGTGGCGGAAGATGGACTGGCGGGAGTAAGGACACAAATCCGACACAACATCTCGCTTGGTGTTTCGCTTCCACTACACACAGACACACTGCTGACTGCCATGTACCGGTAGTGGTTACGGTATGCACCGCTCGCCGATCGCTCAACCATCCCCCAGAGCCTGCCCTCGAATCTCGTAGCACTCAGCAGCGCGGAGGACAGCCCAGTCTTCACGGCTGGCGTGGAGATCCGAGCCGGCTTTCGAAGCATCTTAGGCCAGACCCTCGACTCAAATTCAGACTCGACAGAGCGATCGTCCACCGTCATCGTCGGCACGCTCGATCAGTACGTCGAGAGCTTCGGAAATACAACCACCGTTCCGAGTCTGGGCGAGGAGGGGTTCTGGCTCAACATTGAGGCCGACGCCGTCCAGATCATCGGACAAGATGAACGCGGTGCGCTGTACGGCGCGTTCGAGTACCTGTCACGACTTGCGCAGGGGGATTTTGCGCCCACCAGCTACAGCTCGAGTCCCAGGCAACCGATTCGATGGGTGAACCAGTGGGATAGCATGGACGACACGGCTCACCTGGGCAGTGTTGAGCGTGGCTACGGCGGGCCGTCCATCTTCTTCGATGATGGCTTCATCGTTCCCAACTTGACCCGGGCCTCCCAGTATGCCCGTCTCCTGTCATCGATCGGCATCAACGGCGTGATCGTCAACAACGTCAATGCAAACGTGACCCTATTCCAAGATGTGAACATCGACGGACTGGGCAGGATTGCCGAGGCCTTCCGACCGTACGGGGTGCAGCTCGGGCTGTCCGTCAATTTCGCGGCTCCAGAAAGCTTTGGAAACCTCCCGACCAGTGATCCCTTGGATCCTTCCGTCATAACATTCTGGGAAAACATAACCACCAAGCTCTATGAGCGGATTCCCGACATGGCAGGATATTCGCTTGTACGTAGTCACCAAGATTCAGTATTATGTTTTGGACTGTTCCAAGACCCCCCACCCCCCCACTTCGCACCTGATTGACGAAGCATCGCTAAATCCCAACTTAGAAAGCAAACACCGAGGGCCAACCGGGCCCGTTGACCTACAACCGGACTCTCGCCGACGGAGGCAATATGCTCGCGAGAGCTCTCAGCCCTCACGGGGGTAATCTGATCTACCGCGCATTCGTCTACGATTCCATTGGACTCAATTGGACCAACTGGAAAGATGATCGTGCCAATGCGGCGGTGGATTTCTTTGGGGACCACGACGGGGAGTTTGAAGAGAACGTGATTGTCCAGATCAAGTATGGACCCATCGACTTTCAAGTGCGAGAACCCGTCTCGCCACTCTTCTCGCGACTGAAGAACACGAACGTTGGGTGAGTAACCCGACCTCCACCACCACATTCTTACCCCAGACCCACGTGACAGATGGGCTGACTGTCTTTGAAGCATCGAGTTGCAGGTGACTCAAGAATACCTGGGCCAGCAAACCCACCTGGTATACCTTGCCCCGATGTGGAAAGTAACCTTGGACTTCGATCTGCGAGTCGATGGGGAGGAATCACGAGTCGGCGATATCATCTCCGGTGATAGATTCGGCCGACCGCTAGGAGGATCCGCTGCTGTCGTCAACGTCGGCACGAATACGACATGGCTCGGAAGTCACCTGGCGATGTCGAACCTGTACGCATACGGTCGGATGGCCTGGGATTATACCACCGACCCTCAAGCAGCCCTCGAAGACTGGATCCGGCTCACGTTCGGTCCCGACCCCGCCGTCCTCGATGTCATTACCAAGATGTCGATGGAGTCGTGGAGGGCCTACGAGAACTACAGCGGAAACCTCGGCATCCAGACCCTCACGGACATCCTGAATACCCACTTTGGGCCGAATCCCGCTTCGCAGGACAACAACCGATACGGGCAGTGGACCCGCGCAGACGCCGACACCATTGGGATGGACCGTACCGTGTCCAACGGCACTGGGAATTCCGGACAGTACCCGCCGGAGATCGCGGCTATGTACGAGAGTATCGAGACCACGCCTGACGACCTCCTGTTGTGGTTCCACCACGTCCCCTACACGCAGGAGCTGAAGTCCGGAAAGACGGTTATCCAACACTTCTACGACGCGCACTACGAAGGCGCCGCGACGGTGCAGGCCTGGCTCCCGCTGTGGGAGTCCCTGGAAGGCCGGATCGACGCACAGCGCTACGAGGCGATCCTCTTCCGGCTGAGGTACCAAATGGGCCACTCGCTCGTGTGGCGCGACTCGATCAGCAACTTCTACTTTAACAAGTCCGGCATCGCTGATCGCGCCGGGCGCGTCGGCAACTACACCTACCGCATCGAGGCCGAGGATATGACACTGCGCGGGTACGCGCCCGTGGCGGTGACGCCCTTCGAGGCGGCGTCGGGGGCCCACGCCATCGTCACGACGTCGGCCACGTTGGCGGGGACCGCATCGGCCCGGAGCCCGTTCCCGGACGGGACGTATGACCTGGCGATCAACTACTTTGACCAGACGGTGGGGCGGGCGCGCTACGAGGTGTTGATTAATAACGCGACCGTCGGGCGCTGGACGGGCAACCTGGAGGACCAGTTCTATCACGAGCCGTTCACGTCCCTGGACGGGCTGTCGGCGACGCGGGTGACGTTCCCGGGCGTGGAGATCCAGGCCGGGGATGAGATACGGGTGGTGGGCACGCCGGACGGGAAGGAGATGGCGCCGCTGGATTACATCTCGGTGCTGCCGCAGGGGGTGGTGGACTGAGGGTGGGGGGTGAATGACCTGGTATGGGTGAGATGAACATATCTTTACTGTGTTCTATTATTGTGGTGTTAATACAATGGATCTATGGATACTTTGATTTGTGGTTGTAGTGTTAATGAAACGGATCTATGGATAGTTTGATGTGGTTGTAGTATTAATGAAATGGATCTATGGATAGTTTGATATGGCTGTAGTGTTCATGAAATGGATCTATGGATAGTTTGCTTTGTCGTTGTGGTGTTGACGAAATGGATCTATGGATGGTTTGCTTTGTGGTAGGTGGTATTCATGACACGAACATCTTTACTTCATGGTGAGACGACGATGACGACTGCGAAGAAGAGGAAGGGAAAGCGTAGGAAAGGCGAGGAAACTGCAAATCACGCCGTGCCGTGCCGTGCCGCCGCGTGGCTGGTTTTGCGAGCTGGTTTTGCGGGCTGGTGACCTGAGAGGAAGGAGGAAGGAGGAAGGAATGGATGGATGGAAGGAAAAACTGTTTCAGCGGGATTGGGATTGGGATTGGGATTCAAAGGGGGTTGGGGGGGGGTTGGGGTTGGAGGGGTTGAAGCTCCTCTTCTTCTGAGCCCGCGCTCGGATGGATGGATGGATGGATTGAATGGATGGGTGCATGGATGGATGGATTTCTTTGCTATCAGTGTCAGTGTCGGTGTCGGTGATTCGGATTGGTAAGGTCAGGTCAGGTCAGGTCAGTTAGGCAGGTCACGGGGGTGGTGACGTCGGAGTGGGAGGAGGGGGAGTGGGAGCGGGAGCGGGAGCGTGGATGAAACGGGAGATGTCGTGGGCGGGATGGGACGGGATGGGGACGGGATGGGGGATGGGGATGAGTTGGGATGCGAGCTGAAGATGATGGAGGAGGAGGAGGAGGATGTTTTCGGTGTTGTGTATGTATGTGTATGTGTGTGTGTGTGTGTTATGCCATGCTATGCTATGCTATAGGCGGGGGCTATGTTTAGTCAGTCAGTCGGTCGGTCAGTCGGTCGGTCAGGTCGGCTTTTTCACACCGCCACACCGCCACACCGCCCTACCGCCACACTGCTGCACTGCCATAGGTAGGTACTGCCATGCGGCCATGCTGCCATACTGTCCTTTGTGCTTTCGCTGTCGCTGTCGCTGTCGCTGTCGGTTTCGCTTCTGCTCTTGCCACTACTTACGTAAGTCCCGTCGGTCGCGCAGGTTGGTGTGTAGTAGGTGTGTCGTAGGTACAGTACAGTGCAGGACCCCTGTGTCTGTTCTGTTCGAGCCTCACGTCTCACTGTGGATCTAAGCATTTGACGCTTGAACAGGGGGGGTAGGGGTAGGGGTAGGGAGGGGAGGGGAGGGGAGGCGGGGGGAATCGGAAATCGGGATGATTGTGAAAGTAAGTCTCGGTTGGGTATGTAGTAGTAGTAGTAGGTATTTAAGGTATGTAAGGTAGAAGAAGTATAAGTATATGTAAGGTACAGTACTGTATGTACAGTAAGGTGTAAGGTATGTATTTAAGGTATGTAAGGTACCGTATGCAAGGTACCGTATATAAGGTACGAAAGGTAGTTGGAAATAAACATGATCGGTACTGTAATTAGGTACTGTTCTGTACAACTACGTAGTGTGCGGCGTACGGAGTGTGCGGAGTGACTACGGTCCAGTCCGGAGATAAAAAAAGATACGCGCTTGCTCTAGCGTAGCGTTGTTACTTAGCGTTGTTAGCGTGGCCTTGAGACAGACACACAACGCAGCTAGCCCAGCCCAGCCCGCTGGTTTTCACTCCTGTCATCTTGTTTGTTGTTTGGTTTTGGTGGCCCGAGGGCCCGTTGGATGGCCGATGGTGGTGGATGGATGAAGCGCCCGTCAGTCAGCCAGCCAGTCAGGTGCGGGCGATGAGGGCCAATCAATCAATCAATCAATCGATCGGGTTGGCTTAGTCAGTCAGTCAGTCAGTCGGGTTCCCCATTCGTACTGTACTGTAGCACTGCGTTACGGACACGTAGTACTACGTAAATCCTCCCTCGTTTCACCAATGGGTCGCTCTCGCTCTCCCTCTCCCTTCCGATCCTGCAATTCCCTGCCGGTCAATTAATCGATCAAATCAAATCAAATCAAATCAAATCCAACCAATTGATTCATTCATTCATTGATTCATTCTTCCCGCTCCTTGCGCAGACGCGCATTCCCGAGTGCCAGCCAGTCAGTCCTTCACGTCAGGAGATGTAGGAGTGGATTTCAGATCCCATCACATCACGCATCCGTCCCTTCCAGCGCTACGACAGGCCGTACAATACTTCCCAGCCCGCCAAGCTCCCATCCCGCCAAGCTCCCATCAATCATCCAAGCTCTTGATGATTGGATAGGATTGGATTGGATTGGATTTTTGGCATCTACCGTACGTAGTAGTACTACGTACGTTATACCGTAGGTCCGGTGCCACTACCACTACCGCTTCCACTACCACCCCTCGACTCGCCCGGACCCCATGCCAGAAACAAGAAGAGGGGGGGGGTGCAAGGCCCTGCCCAAGCTTTTTGGTTTTACCTTTGACTGCGGCTCTGGACTTCTTTGGCTTTCGGGGATAAGATGGATACGCACGATGGATGATCATCGATGATCAGCCCCCCCCCCCATCTCCAGTCCCCAGTCCCGCCCGCCGCTTCACCTTCAGCTCCCATCTCCCAGTCGCCGCCCCAGAGGCAAAAGGGGGCACGGCACAGCTGAAAATCCTGAGACTTGCGACATGCGCGCGTTCGCTATGTTTGGGGCTTGGCTTATGGGTCGGAGCTTATTGGTCGGTGGGGGAAGGGCGGGGCGGGGCTGGGTGGGGCTGATGGTGGGGGCTTGGGGCCAGTGGGGTCAGTGGGGCCAGGGTGGTCGGTCAGATCAGATCAGATCATTCCGTCGACCAGGATCCGGACCAGGACCAGGAAACCATGGTGGGACCCTGACCCGTTGCCTTCCTCCGTACAGCTACCGGTACAGTACAAGCAGGCCAAAATCAAGACATCCATCCCCAATATCCACCCACAATTATAAAGATGGCCGGTGACCCCCCCCTTCACCGGATCTTCGTCAGATCCCTTGGCATCCTTCTATTTCTGGGTTCCTGCATTGGTGGCTTCTCGGCTGTTTTTACTTCTTCTGCTTCTTCTTCTTCTTCTTCATTTTCAATACATCTTCTTCTTCATCTTCCGCGTACACATTCCCCTTCGCCCTCCCTCACCTTCTTACATTCCTCCTCCTTCCTCCTCGGAGCTAGCTGCCTGGGGCAGACCGCGATTGATTGCTTCGGAGACGCGCACTTCTTGAGACATTCTGACATTCAGACATTCATTCAACCCATTCAACCTATTCATCCTATTCATCTCATTCATCCCATTCATCCTATTCATCCACACATACCTGCCTGTGGCAGCGCGAAGACGTGATTCAGAATACAAACAAACACTCACATTCTTTGACTGACGGGAACCGAGCTCGAGCTTTCGAGCGGCCACACGCATACACACACACACATACGGAAGACCCATTCACGGCCTCACTCGCCCGTCAGGAACACAAAACCATACAAATACCACGGGCAACAGCCCTCTGCCTCCATCGTCCGGCACGAGTACTCTCAACAGCAGCAAGAGCAACCACCACCACACCACCATACTCTCACCCACCGCCATGCGCACTTCAACTCCCCTCCTCGTCCTCTTCGGACTCGCAGCCCGCGCTAGCGCACACGTCAAGATGACCTCCCCCGTGCCCTTCGGCGCCTCCAGCCTCAACAACTCCCCCCTCCTCGCCGACGGGAGTGACTTTCCCTGCAAGCAGCGCCCCGGCGTCTACGATGCTCAGGGCGCCAGCAATATCTGGCCCCAGGGCTCCACCCAGAGCCTCGCCTTCATGGGCAGCGCCGTGCACGGCGGCGGCTCCTGCCAGGTCTCCGTCTCCTACGACGAGGCCCCCACGGCCAGCAGCACCTGGAAGGTGATCCACTCCATCGAGGGCGGGTGCCCCCAGAAGGGCGTCGCCGGCAACAGCGGCGACAACGCGGCCCAGATCATCCCCGACACCTACCCCTTCAAGATCCCCGAGGCCCTGCCGACCGGCACCGCCGTCATGGCCTGGACCTGGTTCAACAAGGTCGGCAACCGCGAGATGTACATGAACTGCGCCCCCGTCACCATCACCGCCGCGAGCGCCCAGCGTCGCGACGACGACGGGATGGAGGCGCCGCGGAACGACACGCAGCTCGGCGAGCGCGACACGGCGGGCTTCGATGCGCTCCCCGACATGTTCACCGCCAACATCGGCAACGGCTGCGGGACCGTCGACTCGAGCGATGTCCTCTTCCCCAACCCCGGGGACTCGGAGGAGAAGGACGGGGGGAATACGCCCAATGCCACCGCGCGTCCGACCGGTGGCGCGTGCAAGAAGGGGGGTGCCGGCGGCGGAGGAGCGGCGGCCACGACGGGCGTCGGCCCGGGAGCCACCCCCGTCGCGTCGTCGTCCTCGCCATCCCCCACGCCCACCAACGCCGCCGGTGGCCCCGGCGGAGTCGCAGGCCTCCCCGGAGGGGTCTTTGCGACCGT